TTCCGATTTAAAAATATTTTCTAATCTAAAAAGAATCTAAAAAAAAAGAAGAAAGAACACGCCCTTAAAAATGTAGAAAAAATTAAAATCCTGCAGTGGAAAATCTTGAAAGTTCAAAAAATAATTAACAAAAACTTCACTAGAACCTCTTATCAAACAGCAGTGCAAGGAAAAATGACGGGGGGGGTAAGTAAAATCATTTAAAAATATCTTCCAATTTAAAAAGATTTTCTATCTAAACAGATTTTATCAATTGAATTTCAATTTTTTATTCTTTCTGAAAAATGTTTTTTTTTTTCTTTATATATTTACTGATCAATTTTTAGCAGCATAATGCACAAAAAATTTTGGAAGGATATAAGTTTTCCTTTTAAAAAATATTTGTATATACAGTCCAAACACATCTGTATACAGTGGAACACGTTTAACTGAAACGCTAAGGCGAAATATCAGTTAACACAAATAATGCAATGGTCTCGACAAACTACTATTATTTTCATGCATTTTGTTTCTTTTAACACGAAACAAAATCGCTTAAACGAAAAGATATCCTTTCGGAAATGAACAAATACAGAAACATGGCATCGCTGGCGAGATTTAAAAAGCGGGGGTGAAATGAAAGAGAGGTGTTTCACATGTTTCGTAGAAAAGAGGCTATTGGCTTTGAAATACCCTCGGAATAGCCTGTGACACAAGCCAGTTTTGTTTATCTACGGACTTTCGCCTCCACGTCTACAAGCACCACACAAAATTCATCTCTCATCAGTTAGCTTTGGATTCAACGAGAGTACACATGGCAGTGTGAATAAATTAATGAGTTTGCTCATATGTTTGCACTGCATAGAATTCAGTGACTCCAAGGATGAATGAAAATTTTTTCATTACACAATTCTCAAAAGTATCAGATTTCGGCGCCGAAAGAAAAGAAGTAGAATATGAAATGAGCTGACACTAATAATGTTTGAGAAAGTTTATTAAAACTGTCCTACTGTACTATCGGAAGAATTCGTTGCAGTAGTTTATGATATGTGTGTACAGCCCCGATCTGAAGTTTATGCAACTGTTTTTTTTTTTTTATTTTATTTTATTTTTTTTATTTAAAATTGCGGTTTGGCACACATATTTTGTATAGTGGCTTCAGATGTGGATAAGTTTTTCGAACACTTTCGTTTGTTTTTACTGGCGTCGCTGAATTTTGCGATGAAATCAGACATTTATTGCGAATGTAACCTTCCAGATTTTTTCCATACTGTTAATGTACATCAGCAGGAATTTCTCCTCTTTCCTCAAATACCCTACGGCGATAAACATAACCATTCAATAACATTTTGCGTAAAATCCCCACTCGAATAATTTAAATTGCAAAATCTCACAATACCACCTAAACACACTATTCAGCACAAAATTTCTTTGGTTAGTCCAGGACTAAAGAGAAGGCTAGCTCATAGAGGTTTCCCCTGAAACAGGCAGTGAGGAGTGATGACGTAGCAATGATGGCAACTGAGCGCGGAGATGCAATTGAACAACATAGAAATTAGTGTTTTAAATTTGAAGAATCAGTTTAAAAAGAGCTGTGTGTGAAATAGCTATAATTTGGAAGAGACAATGTTACTGCAGTATGCATTTTACACTGAGCATTAAAAAAATTTAATAGTACTTACTCAATTTAAAAATATAGATAAAATGCGCTACTCTTACATAAGTTTCCTTTTTTTATTTGCAGGGATTTTTTTTTCTCTTTAAGCCCTGTTTGTTTCTAATGATTTCTTTATCTGCATGTTAACTAAGAGAACTGTACTACTGCTAAGATAACTATAATACAGCTATTTAAAATTAATCAAAAAAATAACCTTAAATTGGCATAGTTTTAAAGTGTTGGTTATATATGCAAAATTTTTGCTAATCTAAGTTGAGTTCAGCCTAATTGTAAATTTTACATTGCATATTTTTCTCCCGATTCATTATAATAATATATTTTTTTTAAAATAATTTTGAACTTAGGCTTACATCATATTTCATTTAAATAATACATGGAAGATTGTTATCTTAATTTAGACAAAACATTTTATCACAGTACCTAAAATAATATTTATTTTTCAAAAGTGGGGGTTAAGGGGGGCTCTTTTATGCCATACTTTAATATTTACTTTATATATTTTATCTAGAATGCTAAAGCACAAAATCGAATCAATAATAACAGAGGATACAATAAATAACTGTAACAATAACTTAATAGAATTAGTTCTCATTTAAAATATGCTTACGCTATTAACTTCTAAATGCAATCTAGAAATATTTCAAAAAAACATATTATGTTATTTATTTTTGTCTCTCGTTTCCTTGACCATTAAATAATTTGGTTTAGTTTGTGACACATTTAATTCTCTAATAATATAAACATTTAAACAGTTCCATCTTCTAAACAAATCCTTTATCTAAAAATGGTTTCTCAGTAATTTGAGCCCAAGGCCGAGCGGTAAAGTCGCTGAACACTGGTAGTTCGGTCCGAGGTTCGAATCCCGCGAACGGGCTGGCTGCATGGGCGTTTTCGTGGTTTTCCCCATGTGTAACGTGTATACGAGCCAGTTTCCCTTAGAAAGTCCTCCACGAAGGCATCCCTACCCTTAGGCAGATAGCCCTAGTGTGCTTTGTCATAATTAAATACACCAACACCAGTAATTTGAGGCAGTGCGCTAAATCTGCAAAAAACCCATATTTTTTTTTTTGGAATACTGGATTTGGAAAATGAGAACTATTAATCGAAATCTGTAACTTTTCCACAAAGTGTAGATCCTCTTAAATCAGACACTATGCTTTCACTTCTACTCTAGATGATTGAATATGTCTTATGGGGTAAAAAAGTTCTTCTTCATTGGATGTTAAAATCAAAAAAATTGGTTGTTTCCACTGCGAAATGAGACCTTGATAAACTGCACTTTTTGAAAAGGACCGATTTTGGTTCCAGTTTAGAATCATAGCAGAGTTTAGAATTATGTGCATTTCGTCGTCGAAACTGAGAACGCATATTTTTTCTACAGAATTCAAATATTGGCATCTTTCCTTCATTACAGCAAGAACATCACTCTGAATTCTGGACTACATGAAAATTTAGCGCACCATCTCTTTAATGTGCTAGTGCTAGGTAAAGGAATTCCATTTTTTCTTTCCAAAAATCGTAGCTTTAGATGACAGAGCTCTTATGGACAATGCAACGTGAAATATCTTCACTATCCACCGGATTTTTTCCTTCTTTTCTAGCAATGCGTTAATCTGCATCTTTGTAAAAAATATGCTTTAGAACGTTTTTTCCAAATTCTCCGATCTGTTCTGTTTTTTTTACTAAATTCGCTGTTTGGTATTTTAATTTCTGAATTTCCGATACAAATTTCTTTGTAGATGTCGTCCACCTTCTTTGTCGCTGAGCAAACATTCTAAAAATTCTTTTCTCTATTTTCAATATTTTATTACAATTTTCTAAGGATATTATTTTGTTCTTCAAATTATCAATACATTCTTATTATCTTTACACTTAGGGCAATCAGGGATATTGTCACATAGGGCATTGTCACTTGTGAGTTTTATTTCAAAATCATTCACATTTGATTTATTATTGTCAGCTTCAATTTCGTTTCTCGGCCCTCAAAATAAATTTTCTTTGGGCTTAATTCGTGTAGTCTTTCAAAAGCACTCTGCATTAGTTTTCTTTTCAAATGTCTCCGATTTTTTGGTGTTATTTCGTTTACTGCAACGATAAATTTACTTTCGACACAGCATTGCATTTCAACAGTTTCTTTTGCGGCAATCCAAGCAAGCGATTTCTCATGTCATCTTCATAATCACTGCACAGAAAATGTTCGCTGTAAATTCTTGCGCTTTTCACATTAATAGAATCCTGTCTTCGACATTTATGTATCCATTCTTTCATCAAAAGCAAATTGTCCTTTGGGAAGGCATGAAATACAATATCTCTTCCTTTCGTATTTCTATAAGTGTTACGGCACGTTGCTATATTACATAAAGGATACTTTAAATATAGAATTTAAAAAGGAAAAACTGACTAAAACTATATATATATATATACAATTATTTTAAATATTTGCATTATTAGAAAAACAAATATGTATGATTAAAATTAATTAATTTGGGATATGCGATCTCCAAAAATCGTCTCGCAACTGAATGAAAACTCAGTTTTAAAGGCGCGAAATCAGAGCAGGTGCAACAGAGATACGTCAGATTACTTCCAGTTCCCCCCTCTATGAGACTCGCGTCGGCGAGGAGTCGAACAAAGGAATGACCTAGCCCTTCTATTTATCCCTGGGTTAGTCAAAAGTGGGGTAGGCGTCTTGCCAGGTGAAACTAGTCGATATTTCCGTGACGTCAAAAATTCGAAAAGTGGGGTAGGGTTTGGAAATACGCTTCTCCTTGCTATTCTAACCTCCTTGCTCAAGAAAGCCCGCTATAACCCTGCCGATTAAATTAGAATTTGGCAGTTTTCCCCAACTCCGATTGGCGACATTATTTGGCGAGATTTTAGAGTTCCTTTTTTTCCGTTCCTTATTTTAGGTGTGACATTTTTTCCGTTTCTTATTTTCCGGGGACATTCTTTCCGTTTCCCTTTTTTCAGGGTGACATTTTTTCCGCACACCATGCGCATAAACGGTTCCGACATAACCAGAAATGAAACTTACCTGTGTGAAATTCTCGCTTTATCTGGTTCTACATATTATCAGTCGTATTCATGTATACGCTAGTCTTCGAACCTTTAAACGTCACTGTTTATGGTATTTTAAAATGAATTCAGCGGGTAACACAATTTTAATATAAATTCAATAACTTCATCGATATTTTTATATTATCAACATAATAAATTTCAGTTATATATAAAAAGATGTAATCCAAAAATTACATAGAAATTATTTTAATATTTAAAATTTTAGTTATTTTTTGTACAATTAAAATATTTAGAAGCTGCGGAGTGTGTTCATTTTCGCTCCCAGCAGTATCTTCCCAACAATAAAACTCCGCTGTGCAGTTTTCCAAGTGCGCTAAGTTTAGATGTAAAATTCCATTGACCACAGATATATATTTAATTCATTACACGGTGAGTAATTCCGAAATCTAATTTTAAACTTATGCAAAGTACATTATTTTCAGTTATAATGTTTTGGGGCTTTTTTCTTCGTGTAATGGAAGCAACTAGTCCGATGTTTCTTTGTCCCGCGCAAATACTGTTCAGTTTTATTGTACGAAGAACTCTTGTTTCTTGCTTAATGTTTTGTAGGTTATAGCCACGGCAAAACTATGGATTAAATTGAATTTGAATATGTTTTTTTCATAATTTGTATGTAATTATTACATATAAATAAAAATCATCTCTTTGATACATGATGTTTAGTACATATAAGGAAAAAACATGGTATTAAGCTTTCCTAAGCAAAAATTAACATGCAAGTAAAGTTATTAAATTCGATTTCGGAAGCACTTCCGCAGAGAACCCGGTAAATGTAAACATCGCCAACTTTGGCGATAAAAGTTCAAACCTGGTAACCTATTGGATTCATCGTATTCGCTTGTTTGAAGGTTGCAACCATCCCTCTTGCGTTCATTTTGTTGAATTATCACTGTCGTTGTTCGCATATGGATATTTATATTCTTCTTCTCTTACTTATTATTATTTTTTCTGATTTTCCACGCTATTTTTCTGAATTTTTTAACAACGAATGGATAGAAATATTTTCGTATAATTAAAGAAGTTTCGTCGATAGATGCCGGTTCACGGCTCCAATTTTTATGGCGTAAAATTTTAACAAGCTGCTATATTGTTAATGCTTTTCTAACAATAACCTTTCCGAGGATAGCAGGTGTGACATAAATAGCTGATTAAATTGAAATAAAAAATATCATTGATTATCTAAGATGACAGAGTAGTTTGATGCATCCCCATGGTCATCAAATTTAGCAAACCACCGCTGGTGTAAGGAATACAGTTCAAATTAGTCTTGAAAAATAATAAAATGTATAAAGTTCTAGTTTTTTTAACAATGCTACTGAAGAAAATTAGATTACTCTTGAAGGTTATTTGTATTTTGAAATATATTATGAAAAGTACAGCTTTATTTTCTTATATCACATTTAACTGGTTAGTTTTATATCTACATGCTTATTATCTGTGAATTTTTACTACCATATGCTTAATATTTTCTTTTGTCTGCTAATTTGAATTTACATGCACTAAAAATCACGTTTACTGCTCGGCTCATCTTTTGGCGAATAAAAATTGTAACAGCGCCAACGGGTTCTTTCCCGAAGCGCTAGCGGGTTCTCTGCGGATGAAAACCCTCTGTGAATTTAAAAATGTTCTGCCTAAAAAACACTGAAGATGTATAGTTTTCCTATATCCTTAAAGTTCAAATGCATACCATATAACAGCGATAGCAATTTTTTACCGATAACTACTGTGCTTGTTTACGATATTTTTACCTATTGTAATTGCCAAGCAGTGATAAACCAAAGAGTAGGGCAACCACTGTTAGAACTATATTAACCCTGCTCGTATGCCATTGGTTAGCAAAAATAATGTAACGATGACGTAGGTACACTTCCGGTGATGACGTACAACACACTTCCGGGTTCCGATTTGCAGAATTGTAGCTCGTTCTTCAAATCCTTTAAAGTAGCATTGTAAATAAAACTAGAATAAACATTATACATCTTGTTATCTTTCAAACATTGATTAATTACTCAAAGCAGTGGTTTACTAACTTTGATGACCCTGGCAGGGCGTAGCTACAGTTTCCAGAGCCCGGGGACAAATGAAAATTTGCCCCCCTTTCTGTGTGCCAAAAACGGAAAACATTTCATTAAAAAATTTCGTAGCATCAGTTTGGCGCCCCTTGGATGCTGCGCCCGGGGACAGATGTCCCCCCTTGCCCCACCCTAGCTACGCCACTGGACCCTGGAAATGCATAAAAGTATTTTGTCATCTCAGAGAACCAATAATAGTCTTTTTTTTTTTTTTTCATTCTAATCATCTATTGTATATAAACACCTAGCATCCTCTGAAAAGTAATTTTTAAAAATGCATTAAAAATATAGCTAAAAGTTGCTAAAAACAGGTCAACTCCGACTCCACTTTTCGTTGGACAGTTTGAATTTGAAATGAAATTAAAATGAATTGAAAAAAATTAATGACAATTTGAGCTATTATTTTTATTTTTGGACTGTATACATTAATAAATAGTTATTTTCTATTTTATTGACATATTAATAAATAAATATAAGGGAGGAGGATAGATGTGATATTTGCCATTAGTGATAAACTGATTCATTAGTTACAATCTCACTGATAAATTTAGGTAAGCAGCAATAGCAGCAAGAACTCCTAGAATTGATGCCAGTCTTAGGAAGCGAGCAGGAAAAGGAGCAATCAGCGTGATAAGGAAGTACACACATTTGATGATAAAGAGGTTTTTAGAATTAAGAACTTTTTTAAGAAGATGTAGATAACCCTAATATTTCACTAACAGAAAGACTGTGGAATGATCTTGCAGAATTGGAAACTTTTCTTTCTATACTGTATATAGCCACAAAAAAGCTGCAATCTGAAAAACTGACAGGAGGTGAGGATGGGATGTTTGTTCTTTCTGAAATTGAGTGTTTATTGCAGAAGGAATCATTTCTTCAATGAAAAAAAAAAAGAGAAACTAGTTTGTTAGACAATAAGATCTTGCTGGGTTCAATATATGGAGATCCGAAACACCGAATTTTCTTGGATGAGGAACAAATTAAAAAGGCAAAGAAAGTCATCTGTGAACTTTCATTAAGAATGAAATTATTCTCAGAACAATTGGAGAATTCGAATCAGGACAATCAAACTGCAGACATTGCAATTGAGTCTCTATCATCCTTTTCCATTGATGAATTAGATTTTGAGAAATATGTTTGGATAATATTGAAAAGGCTAAGGCAAAGCAAATAAAAATAAAAAGAGGCTCTCGATATAAAAATGAAAAAATACAAACAAGATTTCTACATAGCCTTTGAAGAAATAGAGAAATATGATTGCGCTTGCACGACACCTCTTTTAGAACTTCTAAAAATCTATCCTGAAAAGTTAAAAGAAGTATCCCTAACAGTAAGAGCTCTTCCTCCTACTTAAGTTAGTGTGCTAAGACTCTTCTCAGCTCTGAAGTTTATCAAATCGGATCTATGGGCCTCCAACAAAAAAGATCTTGCCGAAACTATATTGTTTCTTAGAAATAACTAATACCAATTTTTCCATTTCATAATAAATGCTAATTAATATAAATAATTTGCTATGCCATCAATTTTTTTTTTTTTTTTTTCTGTAGCATCTATTACTTCTTTTATGTTGAACAAATAAGCTGTAATCCATGTGTATATGTTTACATGTATAAATATCTATATGAGAGAGCTGGAGTCGAGTCGGAGTCATTAAAATTCCAGGAGTCAGAGTCGGTCATTTTTCCTACCGACTCCACAGCCCTGCCCTAATCTCCTAATTTGTTCCAGGTTCTGGAGCTGCCAAAGGATCTATAATCCATCTCAAAATTATGCGAGGAGTATGGCATTGGAAAGTCAACTGTATATGACATAAGAAAAAGGAACTTTTTGAAATTTTTGTAGAAGCAACTTAAACAACTTACATCGAAAGAAATGTTTAATAAGTAAACAAATAAATTTCAATTTTTTTTTTGTAAATTTTGATTACCTTTAGATAATAATTGTTCTTCATTTCATAAATTAAGATTTCATATTTTTAATTGTATAATTTCTGCATGCCATCTTACCAGATTTAAATTGATGATCTATTATCCGGAAAAATAATATCAGTCCGGATTTTGGACTTTGTACTGTACTATTATTAAGGTGAAGGATGATTTATAAAACGTAAATAAAAAAAGCTGATATGGACACCACATGCATTAAATTATACACATTTTTACTGCACTTCATTTAAACTTATTTTTTCAAATTGTTGTAACTTGAATAACCAAACCCTTGAGGCAAGTCGAAAATGAGACAAAAAATTCTAAATTTGGAATTTTTTGTTTTTGAAATGAGAAATGAGAAAAAAATTTCCAAATGTGGAAATTAAACATCCCAGTCAATTTTTTTCATACAGATACCAAACTTATTATTTTATTTCTTCGTAATGAGAATAAAACTTACCCGAATATAAGTGTATGAACCAGGCTTAAGCTTTTTTTGTAAATTTTCATACTCTTTAGATCATAATTGTTCTTTATTTCAAAAATTACAATTTCATATTTTTTAATTGTATAATTTCTGCATGCCATCTTACCAGATTTAAATTGATGATCTAAAATCCGGAAACATCGCAAATCTGAAATCGCCAGAGTCCCAACGAGTCCAGATTTTGGACCTTGTACCGTATATAAGTACCACGAGAACTAAATGCTTAACAGGTAAATAAAAGGCTGACTGCATTCCCCCCCTGAAACTATGAAATTCTTACCAGGGAGAATCACCCACCTGATTGAGAATCCATGCTCTAGAGCTGGGTTGGCCAAACTTCATGTCAGTAAGAGCCACACATTTGAATTCAGGAATGTTCGAGAGCCGCATCTAGATTTTCTAAAAGCCACAAGTTCATATTTACATCATTATAGAAGTATTGGAGGAGGTTTTAAATAGAAAGAAATCCCCAATAACTTTGTAAAATGAGTCTAAACTAATTAATTACTTTCTTTTGAACACTAAGTAGTTTTAGTTTACCATATTTGATACGTATATTTTATATGCATGAGCCACACGAATTGCCTGTGAGAGCCGCAATTTGGCCACCCCCTACTCTAGAGATTGTATTCAGTAAGTTCTTGTAGCATTCTGACATAATTTATGAGCATTTAAAAATTGAAATAAAACATTCTGTTTCACCATATCAAGTTTGGTGTGGTGGATCGTTAGTGACGCTTTGCCTCTGTATCGCACTTGATACAATTGGCAGACAGAGGGAAACTGAGCCGTATCAGGTATGATATGCTGGGAGCAAAGAAGTTAAAAAATCAAAATTTAAAATATTGTTTTTGCTATGCTTTTACGTTAAGAGTCACATGC